CATTTATCAGCCTTCCTTTTTTCCTCATCCGAGAATATTTTTCTTTCTTTTTTTTTTTTAAATCAATCTTTATTGTTCATATTATCACAAAGGTTCCTCATTTCTTCCCCCCTCCACCAGGTTCCCACCCCACCCTCCGCCCCCTCCCCATCCCCCATTGTCCTCATCCATAGGTGCAGTTTATGTTCAGTCTCTTCTTCCCTCCCTTTCCCCGATAGTAAATCCCTTTCCAGATAGTAAATCAGTTACTTAGCATTTTCTCATATCAATAATACCTCCACATGCCTAATGATACACTTCACACAAAAGACATTTCCCAATAGGTCACTTCACACAAAAGACATTTCCCAATAGGTCAACTAGCCTCATCCAGGCCCCACCCAAGGCACTCACAGATCAACACCCCAGCCCTATACTAACTCAACACATCCAGATCTAAGCCTTCATCACTTGATTCAGCAGACCCTCAAGTTCCTGCGAAAGTTTCCAGCCATGTCTGAGAGGCAGCCGTGGGGCAGGGGCAGGCGAGGAGCAAGCTGTTCCGGGCCTGGCTGCTCAGGGCCTGGCCTCTGTTGCTCTGGTTCGTTCCACAACCAGCTGCTCCGGGTCTGGTCACTGCCGCTCCCAACCTAGTTGCTCTGGACTTGGCTGCTGCTGCTCCGGGCCTGGCCGCTCCCAGCCTGGCAGCCGCTGCTCCGGGCCTGGCCGCACCCGCCCCGGCTGCTCCCCCGGGCCTGGCCGCTCCCAGCCTGGCAGCCGCTGCTCCGGGCCTGGCCGCACCCGACCCGGCTGCTCCCCCGGGCCTGGCCGCTCCCAGCCTGGCAGCCGCTGCTCCGGGCCTGGCCGCACCCGACCCGCCTGCTCCCCCGGGCCTGGCCGCTCCCAGCCTGGCAGCCGCTGCTCCGGGCCTGGCCGCACCCGACCCGGCTGCTCCCCCAGGCCTGGCCGCTCCCAGCCTGGCAGCCGCTGCTCCGGGCCTGGCCGCTCCCAGCCTGGCAGCCGCTGCTCCAGGCCTGGCCGCACCCAACCCGGCTGCTCTGGGCCCGGCTGCCCCGGGCCCGGCCGCTCCGAGCCTGGCCACTCCCGACCTGGATGCTCTGGGCTTGGCTACTGCTATTCTGGGTCTGGCTGCTCCCACCCCGGCTGCTCTGGGCCCGGCTTCTCTGGGCCCGGCCACTCCGGGTCTGGGTGTTCCTGGACTGGTCCCCCTGGGCTTGGCCGCCTCCGCCTCAGGCCTGGCTGCCACTGCCCCAGGTCTGGCCGCTCCAGTGCTGGCTGTTGATGCTCTGGTTCTGGCTGCTGCTGCTCTGGGGCCTGGCCGTTGCTGTTCTGGGCCTGGCTGCCACTGCCTTGTGCCTGGCCACTCTAGGCCTGGCCACCGCTGTTCCAACATTCTGTCCTTTTTTTCTCTTTTTTTTAAAAAAACGCATTTATGTTGCAATGTTGGCTGGTGAGTTGAGTTCTGACTTAGTCTTTGATTTTTCAAAAACTTCTTTGTATTCTTTCTTAAGTAATTTTACTATATTTTGTTCTCACTTGATTTCTTCACATTGAGATCTTCTTTGGTTTCTTCCTCCTTGTCCTGGGAGCTCAGCAGGTTGGCCTGTGGCACCCCTTTGTTCTCCGTGGGCTCCTGCACTGCTTTAGCCTGTTGCTTGGGATGGCGCCGCCCAGGAAGCAGCCCCCGGCCTTGGCTCCATTGCCCGCGCTCAGCGGTGGAAGGCTCAGGGGCACCCCCCCTCCCAGGGGCCCCGTCGCCCGCCTCCTTGCTGGTGCCCGGTTGGCCAGCGTCCAACGCAGGGGCTCCCGCTCCCAGCCGCGTCCCCCCAGTCTGGAGCTTTATTACTCCTTCCCGCTAGGGGAGTCCAGCATCAGAGTCAACAGACTGTCCTCTGCGCCCAGAGTGCACGAGTCCGGGGGCCTGGCCTTTCGCCGCTCTCTCCAGACTCCACCTCACAGCCCGGTCTCCCTCTGCCTGAGCCTGGGTCCCCAGGGATTGGCCCAGAACTGGGGTTTGGAGCAGTCCGGACTGAGGCCCAGCGCCGCCGGAGGCCTTGTTTCTTCCGGCTAGGGTAACCCAGCATCAGAGTCAACATTCAGTCCTCTGTGCGCACATTGCACGCGACTCCGGGGGCCCTGCTTTTCGCCGCTATTCCGCTTCACGGCCCCGTCTCCTCCTGCCGGAGCCTGGGTCCTCAGGGTCTGGCCCATAACTGGGGCTCAGCGCTGCCGGTTCCGGGGGGGGGGGGGGGGGGGGCGCTCAGCGCTGCCGGTTCGGGGGGCTCAGCGCTGCCGGTTCGGGGGTTCAGCCCAGGCTGGGGGTTTTATTTCCTTCCTGCTAGGGAACGCCAGGCAGCACCCCGCCCTCTCCTCCTCTCCGGCTGCGACCTCTCCGTGCCTGCGTGCAGGCGGGAGCACAGCATGTCTCCGTACCTTAGGCTTTTTTTTCAGCTCCTCTGATTTTCCTTCTGGTTTTCTCTTTCCTTCTTGTTGTAGAATTTTCAGTCAGTCGACTACTTGTAGCTCTGGGCAATGTCCACTCTACATCTTAGTTGTATTCCATTGAAATTGTTGTGTGCTGCCGCGGTTAGATGTCTACCTGAGCAGCCATCTTGGATCTCTCCTGCGAGAATATTTTTCTATTGATTTTTAGGGAGAGTGGGTAGGAGGAAGGGAGAAAGGAGGAAGGGAGAGAGAGAGAAATATCAGTTCGAGAGAGAGATCAATTGGTTGCCTCCTGCACGTGCCCCAATAGGGGCCAGGAGTTGAACCTACAACCCAGGTAGTGCCTTTTATGGGGATCAAACTGGAGTCCTTCCATGTGCTCAAACCACTGAGCTCACTGGCCAGGACCTGCCTTTCTTATTTGACTGTAAACTAGAGTAACCAAGAGTTGATGTTGAGAATTTTGTTTCTGTACATAGACATATTCCAGCTGATAAATGAAGAACGGGAAACTAAAGCAAAGCACTTTGTCATCCGCAATGAACCTGCGTCTGGTCCTCACAGAGCTGGCATTAGCATGTCAGAGCGAAGGCAGGATGTACACACACCTGGGCAGGTCTTCGCACAGATGGGAAGGGTTCTTGGAAAACTACCCAGCATAAAGGGATCCCACTTCCTGTCTAACTACTACCTTATCCGAACTAGAGGCAACAGAACAGTAAGTTACATGACACCTCAAGATGGACTCAGCACATTCCAAACGGGGGAACAATGACCCAGTCACTTCAACAGCAAGAGGCAGGTGGGCAGAGAGGCCTCCAGGCAAGGACGAGAAGGGACATATAAACCCAACCTCACATCTGCAACCAAGCGTAAAACCAACAAAATTTATGTCGAAGAAGTTTGAACGTTGACGGTATGTTTAATATTATAAGGAATAACTTGATTGCAATAGAATTGTGATTACATTGCAGAAGAATCTTTATCTTTTAGAGACACCTACTGAAATGGTTATGGATAAAACAATAGGATATCTTGGTGTTACTTGACAATTATTCAAGGTGGGGAGGAGGAGGGCAATTATTCAGGGGTTCACAAACTATGACTCAGAGGCCAAGTGTGGCCACCACCAGTTTTCGTAAATAAAGTTTTATTGGAACAGTCTCGCTCATTCTTTGACATGAGGCAAGTGGACAGGTGCTACAGAGACTGAGCTTTCCGGGAAAGTCTGCTGATGCCACAAATCTGACCGAGGCGGCCTGAGCCAGAAGCTGGGCGGCGGGTTGTGGGTTAGTCTGGTATTGTTTGTTTCCTTTTGTACGTCTGAAATGTCTCATAACAAAGAAATTTAAAACCAACACTAACAAACAGGAAGATCTGAATTAGGATTCTTCAGTCTGCCTGCTCCTGATTCCCCTTCAGGCCGCATGGCCAGGTTGCAGGCTCAAACCCCAGTCGGGGCATGAAGGAGGCAGCCAATCAATGATCTCCTCTCACCATTGATGTTTCTACCTCCCCCTTCCTCTATCTAAAATCAATGAAAGCATATTTAAAAAGTTAAAAGAGAGGCCCTCTCTGCCCTGGCAGGTGGCTCAGGGAGAGAGTGTCAGCCTGTGTGCCAGTTCCATTCCCTGTCAAGGGGTCTAGGGTAACCAGACGTCCCCCTTTTGGCAGGATAGTCCCAATTTTTAACAATTTGTCCCGCATCCCACGGCCTTTTAAAAAAGTCCCGATTTTTGGAAAGAGTCCTTTAAATCTTTTGGACTTTTTTAAAACACCTCGGGAGGCAAGACAAATTGTTAAAAACCGGGACTGTCCTGCCAAAAGCTGGATGTCTGGTCACCTTAGTCAAGGGCACATACCTGGGTTGCAGGTTCCATTCCATTCCAGACCCCTGTTGGGGCAGATGTGGACGTCAACCAATCATTGTGTGTCTCTCAAATAGATTTTCTCTCTTTCTCTCCCTCACCTCCCACTCACTAAAAATGAATGGGAAAAATAAATATCCTCACTCTTTGGGTGAGGATTTTTTTTAAAAAAGGCCTTTGCCTGGCTGATATGGCTCAGTGGTTGGGTGTCGACCGATGAGGCTGGAGGTCACAGTTCAATTCCCCATTGATTGTGAGCTTGATCCATCATATCTCACCCTTTCTCTCTCAAATCAATTTTTAAAAGGCCCTCTCTTTCTTCACATTGCTAGTCCTGAAGAAATTGAGGACAGATGTCCTTTACATTCCAAAGCTCTGCTGGGGGGAGGGATGTTTACAAAACATTCAGGTGTTTCCCCTTTCCTGGAAAAGCTGGGGCCCGCCCCGCCCTCTCACCCCCATCCCTCAGGGGGCCTCCTGGGCTGATGGGTCATCAGCTTATTCACTGTTGCCATCAACACCACTGCCTCTGCTCAAAGGCACACGGAGAAAACCAGTCACAAAGACCTGCTGCTGTCAGGGCAGGAGGCGCCTGTGACTCCTGTGCCTCCAGCGCGTGCCCAGGCGCAGCTCTGAGGCTCCCGGACGCGCTGCCCCGAACCCACTGCCGCCCCTGAGACCGGCCCCATGCTGGGAAGCGCCGAGTTGAGCTTCAATGTGGACCATGGCTACCTGGAGGGGCTGGTGCGAGGCTGCAAGGCCGGCCTCCTGACCCAGCAGGACTACCTCAACCTGGTCCAGTGCGAGACCCTGGAGGGTGAGCTGATCCCACCGGGAAGGGGTGCGGGAAGGGGTGCGGGAAGGCTGCCGAGGGACGCAGGGGAGGCGGTCCCCACCCCAGCCCAGAGCAGGGTCTTCCTCCAGGGCTGACCTCAGGATCGGTGAACTTGGCCCAGGAGACAGTTCATCTCCGTGTTCAGGATTCTCCGCGTGAAGTTTGCCTTCCTTCCATGATGCAGGCAGGTGCTTTGCGCCAGTAGGAAGGCAGTATGTTCGGATGCTGGCACAGGCCTGCAGGTGTCTGAAATAGCTCTGTTCTCCCTGTTTCCAAACCATGGAGGGTGCTGCCCTCCCCTCAGCCCGGAGTCCACTGCCTGGCAGAAGCACGTGTGGCACATCCTCAGATACCTGCTAACCAAACTTTGGAATGCTGCCTGCTTTTAGTCTGCATATCTATAGATGTTATTTGGATAAAGACATCACCAGATTGCCCAGAGATCTATGGCATAAAACAAACAATAAAAAGCTTAGAGCCTCAGTCTGGAGAACTGTGCCCTCTCCCCAGTTTCCCAGCTTCCACTGACAGTTTCCCCAGACTTGGCTCTGATGCTTACAAATAGCCAGCGGCCGGTGGGCCTGCAGGTGCCGTGGAGCCCCGGGGCTCTCGTTTATAAAGTGCGAGGCTGCGCCACTGTGTGCCGTTGCTTGGAGAAATAAATGAGTTGTATGTGGGAGAATGTCAGAACCAGGAAGCACATTCCCTGCAAATGGAAATTATCTGTTTGAAACCAGGGGATCGAGGTCTGGTCAACATGAAAAGCTGTACCTGTTTATTGTAGACAACTCGGTGAGGTTAGATAAGTGTGCACCTGTGAAACCACCACCACCTCTGCCACAACCCACCCCTCACCCCTACCCCCCACCATCACCATTAGTGTCGCTGTTATCGTTGGGGTGGACTGCAGGCTCGGCGCTGGACTGTGGGTCCCCACAACGTGCTCCTCTTGTGAAACCAAACTTTCTGCCCTTTGACACCTCCCAGGCCCCCTCTCCGGAGAGCTCTCTAAGCTACAATATCTCCCAAACCTTATTAAATAAATCACATGGTGCAGCATTTTTATTCTTAAAAACAGCAACTCACTCTTTTTGAAACATACTTATAAAATCAGTCCTGGAAGTGTCCATAAGAAGGTGCTTTAAAACTTCCAGATTATTCTAGAAAAAGCAAGAAATCTGTAAGGATCCAGACTGCAAAGAGGAAGGTGGAGGTGACTTTGCAGGCAGCTTTGGGGAGGGGGTGCTGAGGGCCTGAGGTCGGTCACTGTGGGTGGTCTGACCCGTCAGAGCCAGAGGAGGCCCAGCCACCCACGAGAGATGCACCCTCTCCTTCCACGGGCGATGGAAACAGCCAGGAAAAACTCCCAGATGCTACAAATAACAAACATGATCCCAGCTCCTAGTCCCGTCCTGTGTTATGTGAGGAGGTGGGGGACTAAGGAGTCTCAGATCAAAAGTCACATAAATTGAGGCAGAAAAAATTAATGAACCTGGCAGCATGAGAGCGTCTGAGTGAAGTCATTTGAATACATTCTATTTAGTTTTCAGTCAAACTTTCAAATGGGCTGAGAAATGCAAATTTAAACTCAAATACAGAAATGTCTTCAGGATACACAGCCAGGCATTGGCAGCTCACCAAGGAATGCCAAGAGGAACCGCCCGTGGCTCCAGCTGGGGGAGGAGGGAAGGCTGCAGACGCAGACCTGAAGGTGAACCTTCTTAGTGCAGTACACACAGCTGCACACAGCCGCACACGCAGAACGCCCGGAGGGGGGCCTGGCCCGGAGCACAAGGCCTGGGCCCGGCGGCTCCCGGGACTAGCTGTGCAGGGCCCCTCCGGCTTTCCAGGGTCGCGCTGCTGTTTTCATCCATTTTTAAATTATACCTAAGACTCGCAAACACCCTTTCCTCTTCAAAAAAGACACAGTGGTACAGTGAATGCCTCAGAGCTCTAGGATTCAATAATAATCGCCTTTTCTAAAACAGACGGACGTGGGGAGAGGGGGTGGCCAGCCGTCACAGGACGCGGCTGTCGGTTTGGAAGGGACGGAGAGGAGAGGTTAAGTCTCACAACAGCGACGCCCCTGGAAGGGGCACGACCCTCGTTCCTCTTCGCGGCGCCTTCATGGGGCAGCTGGCCAGCAGCCTGCCCGGTGAGCTTCCTCTGCAGCCAAGGAAGTGCAGCCAGAAAGCAACGGCCCTGCCTGGCGGGCTGTTCAGTGGAGCACCCTCAGATAGGCCGCAGTTGTGGGTTCGATCCCTGGTCAGGGCACATAAAGAATCAACCAATGAATGCATAGACAAGTGGAACATCAAATGTCTCTCTCTCTCTCTCTCTCTCTCTCTCTCTCTCTCTCTCTCTCTCTCTCTCTTGGATAATTTTTTTAAAAAATTACAAAGATATAGTCCGTGCCCTACAAGGGCTTTCATGCCAGAGAAGAAAACAAAGCCCCGAAGTGCCGTCTCCCGGCCTGCGTCCGTGCCCGGGTCCCAGGTTCCCGGGGGTTTTGTAGATTAAATCGTAGGAGTTCCCGGGCTCCCCGAGGAGCCCGAACTGCAGCGCATCTACAAGGATTAGCCTCTGCTGGGCTCCTGGATTCCTGAAGTAATCCTCCCGTCCCGGCTATGGTTGGTGGTGTTGATATGACTCCAAATGTGGGGGGACAGGCGGTTGGAAAATGCCCGTGAGGCGGTGGGGGAGGGGAGCTGAGCTGGGAGATTCTGGGCCGCAGGAAAGTGACGGGTTACTGATGAGGAGAATAGAGGTGTGGGGGGTGGAACGCCTGCAGAGAAGGCTGGGATTCAGGCTGGAGAAGGTGGGAGGCTGAGGGTCTGATTGCGGGGCTCGGAGATGCTGAACGAGAGTCAGACCCTTGCCCTGACACCAGCAGCGGGTCATTCCTCTGGCCCGCGTCTCCGCTCTGAGACCAGTCTGTTAGAACCGGCCTGTCTGTGGAGGGTCCATCGGGAGGTGGCCATGGTGCGGCGGCGCCCGGGCTCTGGCCCACAGGTGGGAGGCTGGGCCTCAGGCCGTCACGGAAACGCAGGCGGAGCGGGGCGGGCGACGAGGTGCCAAAGAGGGCGGCTCTTCATCAGGCAGGACGGCGGTAGAAGCGAACACGGAAAGACGTCGGCTTTTACAGACATTGATACACGTACTGAAATCAGAGAATTGTAAGACATGACGGCCAATTCCAGTATTTTGTTTGGAAAAAATCTGGTAGGAGAGTAAAAACCACAGTTCTTAGCCAGCTGAATCAAACTACTTTGGTGTAGAGGCTGAGTGAGAAGAAAAGGGAACTAATATTACAGTGGCTTCTGCACACCGGCTCCTCTCCGCCATCTGGTGTAATCCTCACCCAACCCCAAGCCTGGGTTCCTCACCCACTTGTAGAGGCAGACACTGCGGAGGGTCGGGGCCCAGGGCCTGAGCAGAGGGCACCCGAACAGGTGCCCTGGAGAGGCTGCCTTGACCTCAGCCGCCTGGCCTGTGGGTCTGCGCTTAGTGAGGCCCAAACAGGAAGCTGCCAGAAGACAGACAACAAACTCCATTTTCTGAAACTGATCTGCCCAGTGAATTAATAGATGCCACACAGCCCTGGTCCTTGTCCTGTCTCAATAGTGATCAGGCAACTCCTGACCCAGGGACTGAGCCCAGACACACATTTTCCACTGTGACCCACAACCTGCATGCCACTGCACACGCCTGCACACATGTGTGCACACTTACACACCCCTGCACACCTGTAGGCCGCTGCACATGCCTGAATGCGCGCATGCGCACGCACACACACACACACGCACACGCACACGCACGCACATGCACGCACACACACCTCTATGTCCCGTGCTCTGGTATTTGTTATGAGAATCTAATTGAGGACTTTTTCTGTTGCTATAAATCTGATTTATTTGGTAGTGACCCCATAGATTGGACATTTTTTGTTTTCTCATTTGTATAAAAAAGAAAAACCCCGCCGCTTGCTGCGCAGCTTCTCTGGGTGGAGAAGCCGGGATTTCCAGTGTGCGTGCCTCCCTGGGCGCCGCCCGGCCGCTGTCCTTGGGCTGGGGCTCTGGGGAATCACAGAGGCTGCACGCCTGCATTTAAGAAGCCTGTTTATTAAAAAAAAAAAAAAAAAAAAAGAGTTTTCTAAAAGGGAAGAATCCACACTGCAAAATAGGAAACTGAATCACAGGAAAATCTGAGAAAGAGCAATAGACATTGACCTGAGACAGTCACTGATCAAGTTACTCTGACTCAAGACTAAAGAGGGAATTTTTTAGACAAAGTCAGTCATTTTCAGGAGAGACGGAAAAAACTGCCCTCGCCCTTGTCATGTTCCAGGGGTGCCGAGAATGTCTAGAGTCCTGAGGAAAGGAAGTGTGCCCCGGTGTGGCTCGTCATATTTACAGAAGAGAGATAAGTAGCTACTCTAGTCTCCAAGCTCAGGGTCCTTCCCGAAAGGACCTCTTGGCCCCGTGAAGGTGCCGCAAAGAGGAACGAGGGTCGTGCCCCTTCCAGGGGCGTGGCCCCATAGAGCCAGGCCCCGGGCGGAGGCCGCTCCTGCGGGGACTGCCGGGAAGACACCGAATCCACTGCGGGAAAAGCAGAGGCTGTGAAGCTGTGAACCTGGGTAGTAGAAGAGCTGACAGAACTGGCAGCTGGGACAAGGAGAGGAATGGAGCACACTGTGCTGCTCCTCTTCTCCTGGTGCTTGAGCAAGTGCCTTCTAAAGTTGAAGTGTATAGAAAGATTAAACAAGAAGCCTGTCACTCCGAATCACATCTCCACGGTCTGCTTCCTCGCGCACCTACTCGGATGAGCACGTGGGTAGGACGGGACGGACCCCGTGAACGCTGTAATCTGCGTGGGGGCATTGCGGCTGTGGTGGCCATCGTGGCCCGGCCGCATGGCAGCCCTGCGATGCTCTTCGCGTCTGGGCGCACGTGTGCTGCGCCTTGTGGGGCCTCCAGCTCCGGGAGCACTGAGTCTCAGGATCCCCCTGGCGGCCAGGAGGTCTGCGAGTTCTTTTGCTTAAAAGAAACGTGTCGCATGAGCAAATGTCACGGTTTCTACAGAAATGCCCTGTGCCCTTTCATTGGCCAACAGCCCTCCCACAGAGCATGCAAACTGTCAAGTGATAGGAAGATCTGAAATAAAAGACAAACGAGACATGGCTCCCCTAAAAGAGCATTTTTAAACTAACTTAATTAAATAGGTAATTGAGCAAGTAAGTCCTGCAGCCAGACAAACCGCGTTTCCAACCCATAACTCCTCCGGATCCTGAGGAGGAGCCCGGCTGCTGAACACAACGGCACGCTGCCTCCCCGGCCCCCCAGCCATGCCCCCATGGCCTCCTGTGTCCCCAGGAGAGGTGCCTGCCCAGCCCTGCTTGGAGCCCTGCGATTCTCACTCCCCTTCTCCGGGAAGCTCGGGACGGGGGCTGTGGGGACAGGGGCCGCGGCCGGCCACCTGCACTGCTCCTGCCGCCCTTCCTCTCGCTCCTGCGGGCACCGAGCACCGGGCCTGACGGCCTCCAGGGCACGTTCCTGGGCTCCTGTCCCGGTGGGCCTGGCCCGCGGTGCCCCCCTCAGCCAGGGGCCTGGGCTCAGTCGCTGAACCCTGATGTAGCGCACAGTTGGACCCTCTGTTGCTGGTGCCTCGTCCCCATCAGACTGCGTTGCCTTGGGGACGAGGAGTATGTGTGGAGCTATGCCATCAGCCCACAGGCAGCCCCATGCGCCCCGGATGCGACAGAAGCCCGGCTGCGGGGTGGATGGTGCCAGAGACTGTTAATAACGCGTGAATCTCAGGGGCTCGGCTGCGCTTGTGCAGCCGCTGTGGGGTTAAAGCGCTTAAGCCTGAAGCGCTTTGGGACGGGGCTGTGCTAGAGGTGTCATCAGAGAATTCGGGCCACAGAACAATGGGCAACCTGATTGAACGGGATGGCAATAAAATACAGGTTCTAATTGCTCTGGGGTCAGATAGCCTGGCTTAGAATTCATTTATCCCTGTGATCTTGAGCTAATTATTAACCTCTGAGCATCAGCCCTTCTTACCTGCAAACATCATTCCCTCCTCCAAGGCTAGCCATTGAGGGAGCTAATACCGTGTTTCCCGGAAAATAAGACATCCTACGAAAATAAGACCTACTTACAGGTTTCCTTCTGAGTGAAATATAAGGCATCCCCCCAAAATAAGGCCCCCCCTAGGCTAAACATGAAAGATTTGGTCCACTGATTCTGAAAGAAATCGAGTCGCAAGAAATTCACCAAAAGATTCAGGAATTGGATTGTTAGGATGATGTTCCAGAAGATGATGACATGATTGTCATTGAATAAATGAGTAAATTCTTGATACTGTATGATTGACAGTTTGTCTGGTTTGTGTTGACAACTACTATACCTCCGTACCGTATACAGTAATAAATTTCCTTTATTTTCATTTAACAATAAATGTGTACCATATTCTTCTTCATGGAAAAATAAGACATCCCCTGAAAATAAGACCTAGCGCATCTTTGGGAGCAAAAATTAATATAAGACACTGTCTTATTTTTGGGGAAACAGGGTACATGCCCAGTACACACTAAGCCCTCAGTCACAGTAACTACTGTGCCAGTGCTGAAGGATCCATTATAATGGGCAAATGTGGGGGAGCAGGTGTTCCTGGAGAGGGGGGGTCAGCATGAACAAAAGTGAGGAGGCTTGGGACAGGTCTCACCGAGAAGGAAGCACTGTGAGTGGAATTTAATTCAATACCTGCAGCCAAGAGCATGTGATCAAAGGTGCTGGCCTGGGCCTGGGGAAACCATTGATTTTAGGGTCAGGAGACCCTGTTTGAGCTCTCCCCTCCCTCCTCTCCCCGCTCCCCCCTCCCACCTCCCACCTTCTCTAACTGCACCGTTAGCCCCAGGCTGCTGCTGGCTGGCCCTGAGGAAGGGCTCTTTTCCGCCACGTTGGGCTGGACCCCCAGTTCCTTCTCAACCGTTTGCCGAGCAGCTATTTCCGGCTCCGAGAAGCTCATCGCTTCTCTCACCGGGTGGTCGGTAATGTTCTCCGGCCGTGCTAACAATCCTGGACTGCTAGGTCACTGAACATGTGGTTTACCAGAATACCCATTTCAATTGTGAATTGTTGGTTGCTTTAGAGAAATCCGCTTGTCTAAATCATACGTAGACTCAGGCTGTGGTCTGTAAGGTGATGGGAATTAACGTGCATCATTAGTAATGATGAAGCTTGTGTGAATTCAGTGAGGGCTGTACAGGCTGCTCATGTGTGTTCAAACGCTAACCCGCTCGGGTTCCGTTGGACTGCAGATCTGAAAGTTCACCTGCAGACCACCGATTACGGCAACTTCTTGGCTGATCAAACGAATCCTCTCACCGTTTCCAAAATCGACACGGAGATGAGGAAGAAGCTGTGCGGGGAGTTTGAGTATTTCCGGAATCACTCCCTGGAGCCGCTGAGCACCTTCTTCACCTACATGACGTGAGTGGCGGCGGGCGGGCGGGCGGGCGGGGTTCTAGGCCTTTCCGTGGCTCTCGTGTTCCATTGCATCCCAGCCTCAGCAGCTGAGGAGCCCGGGCCGCACACGGGGAGAAAGCAGACCTCACGCAGTAACCTGTGATTGCGATGGTGGCCTCCGGATAAAGCTTCTTTCCGTTTTCTCTTTCCCAACGCCCAGTGGGGCTGGTGGTGACCTTTCTGTGCTGTTGGGACTGACGGTGACACAATGTGACACTTTTGGGTCCCTTGTGGCACCGAAACATCAGAGAACGTTCTTTAGGCCACAGCTGCCCTTCCAGCCCCCTCACAACAGATAAGGAGCCCCAGCGCAATCAGGAGTGTCTGTGCTGATCCTTCTCTGTCACCTGCGGCCCCAGTCTTTCAATGCAAAAGCCCTTCACTCTGAAAAATGCTGAGCCCGGTTGGTGTGGCTCAATGGTTGAGCATCAACTTATGAACCAGGTCACAGTTGGATTCCCGGTCAGGGCACAGGCACAGATTTCAGACTCAATTCCCAGAAGGGGATGTGCAGGAAGCAGCTGATCAATGATTCTCTCTCATCTTTTATGTTTCTCTATCTCCCCCTTTCCCCTCCTCTCTGAAATCAATAAAAATATATTTTAAACAAAATTAAACACACACACACACACACACACACACACACACACGAGGCCCGGTGCATGAAACGTGTGCAGGGAGGGGAGCCTTCGGCCAGGCCTGCACCTTCTCCAATCCAGGACCCCTCAGGGGATGTCCGACTGCCGGATTCAGCCCAACGCCTGCGGGATCGGGCCTAAACCAGCATTTGTAGGAATGGGCCTAAACCGGCAGTCAGACATGCCTCTTGCAATCTGGGACCACTGGCTCCTAATCACTCACCTGCCTGCCTACATGATAGCCCCTAACCGTCTCTGTCCTGGCCCCCACACCTAGGACCCAGTCTTCCCTCCTAGCCAGCTGCAAGCACCTGAGACCTGGGCTTCTCTCCCTCTGGCTGGCCGCAGGCACTGGAGCGTGGGGGATCCTAGCTTGGCCTGCCCCCTCACAGTCCAGGAGCCCTCAGGAGATTCCTACTGATGGTCTCGGGGAGTGAGCCTAAGCCACAGTGGGCCTCTCTCTGTAGGAGATGACCAGGCTGCTCAGGGGAAGGTGTGCCCCCAACACCCTCTGCTGCTGCCACTGCTAGCCTCCTTGGTGGCCTGCCCTTGGCCCTTGCAGCCGTCACAGCTGCATGCCTTAGGCCCACACAGCCACTGTGGCTTTGTCCAGACGGACATCTGGAAGACAGATCTGGTCTAATTAGCATTATATATATATATATATATATATATATATATATATATATATATATATGTGTGTGTGTGTGTGTGTGTGTGTATGTGCGCGCGCGCTCACGTGCACGCGCACACACACTAGAGGCCCAGTGCACAAAACTTGTGCACAGAGCCAGGGGGGAAGTGTCCCTCAGCCCAGGCTGCACACTGTCCAATCGACCCCTAGAGGGATATCCAACTGCCCGTTTAGGCCCAATCCCAAATGGGCAGTCAGACATCCCTCTCACAATCCAGGACTGCTGGGTCCCAACTGCTCGCCTGCCTGCCTTCCTGATTGCCCCTAACCACTTCTGCCTGCCAGCCTGATCACCTCCTAACCACTCCCATGCCAGCCTGATTGATGTCTAACTTCTCCCCTGCCAGCCTGTTTGCCCCCAACTTCCCTCCTCTGCCGGCCTGATCACCCCTAACTGCCCTCCCCTGCAGGGTTGATCACCTCCAACTGCCCTCCCTTGCAGGCCTGGTGCCTCCCAACTGCCCTCCCATGCTGGCCATCCTATGTTGGCCACCTTGTATCCACATGGGGGCAGCCATCTTTGACCACATGGGAGCAGCTATTGTGTGTTGGAGTGATGGTCAATCTGCATATTACTCTTTTATTAGATAGGATAGAGGCCTGGTGCATGAGTGGGGACCAGCTGGTTTGCCCTGAAGGGTGTCCCAGATCGGGGTGGGGGTTCCCGTGGGGTATAGGGCAGCCTGAGCGAGGGGCCTGTGGTGGTTTGCAGGCCAGCCATGCCCCCAGTGACCCAAGGGGAGGCCCTGATGTCTGGAATTTATTTATCTTCTACAATTGAAACTTTGTAGCCTGTAGCGGAGCCAAGCCTCCTGCTTGCTGTGTGGCAGCAGCCATTTTTGTTTGAATTTGTTTACTTTCTACAATTGAAACTTTGTAGCCTTGAGTGGAGGCCTAGGCCAGCAAGGGCAGGCAGAAAGCTTGGCTTCCTCTGTTGCCTGGGAAACCCAAGCCTCCTTCCTGCTTTCTGTGGCCAGTAGCCATCTTGGTTAGGTTTATTTACATACTCTCTCTGATTGGCTGGTGGGTGTGGCTGGTGGGCATGGCTTGTGGAGTGGTGGTTAATTTGCATATTACTCTTTTATTATATATATCACCCTAGCCAGTTTGGCTCAGTGGATAAAGCATCGGCCTGCAGTCAAGGCCACTTGCCTGGGTTGCATGCTCCATCCCCAGTGGGGTGTGTGCAGAAGGCAGTGGATTAAAGACTCTCTCTCATCACTGCTGTTTCTATCTCTGTCTCCCTTTCTCTTCCTCTTTGAAATCAATAAAAATATGTTAAAATGTAAAAAATTAAAAATATATGTATATTTTTAAATAAATAATTTAAATAATATTGAGCTTGTACACAATAGTGAATGGTGCTTTTATTAATCCAGTTAATAAATTATACTCAATACTCAAAATTTTGGGCCCCTCCAGCGGGCAAGCCAGGAACCAAGGTCGGCAGCAGCTGGACTGTGTTGCGTATGTGCTATGTAGACGCCCTGTACAATGTATGACTGGCTCAGGAAGCGTCCTCTTCCTCCTGTCCCCCTCCCCACTCAGCTCCTCCCCCCAAGAGTGACCACTTCTCACATTCTTATGCACTTTTCCAGGAAAACATTTACATTTGTATATTTATACTGACACACACTGAGCCCACCCGCCCCGCATTCCAAATCCATGTGCGCAGTCAGATGCCTCTGCACTTCCTGCACCTAATACTTCTCACAACGATCCTTCCGACGCCATTGTTTGTGGTAACTGCACAGAACCCTGTGTGTGGTGTATCACAACTCAACCACCAGTCATCTAGTCACAGTTTTTACTGTGTCATTTTTTAATTCATTTCCAAGCTAAATTTCTGCCAGTGGAAGTAGTGAATCAAAGGAATGTCTTCTATTTTGTTTAAATTTTGCTAAGTTGTACTCAACAAAAGTAGCCTCCTTTGGTGCTCCCTACGAAGTGCATGGGGAAGCCTGGGACTTACACTGTGACCAACACTGGACAGTATCTTCTTTTAATCTTTTATTGATTTTTAGAGAGAAGGAAAAGGAGAGAGACAGAGCAACATCGCTATGAGAAGCACAACATCCATCAGCTGCCTCCTGCGCGCCCCTCCCAGGAATCCAGCCCCAAACCTGGGCTCAGGCCCGGACCCAGAACCCAGCTGGCAGCCTTCGGGTGCACAGGACAATGCCCGAAGGCTGAGCCACCCCAGCCAGGACTCACACATTCTCATTAATTGCCCATCTAATTGGGTTAAAGATTGTATCGCTCTGCTTTAATTTATAGCTCTTAGCAAAATTGAGCATCATTTCAATTTATCAGTTACCTGACCATTTTTTGTAGGAATATTCAGCATTTTTTGATTGGCATGTAAGGGGTCTTTGTAAGTGAAGAAAGTTAGCCTTCATCATATATGTTCCAAAGTTATTTCCTCAGTTTGATAGAATTTAACTTTTACATGTTTTTGCTGTAGAAACATTGAATATTTTTAATTAGCTATAATCACCATTCTCATCTCTCGACTCCTGATTATTGTATCCTGATGGGAAGGCCTTCCCCACTCTCAGTCCATTAGTCCACATGTCTCTTCTCCCACTCATCATTGTTGATGCTTCACTCTTTCCGTCTAAGACTTTGGCTCATCTGGAATGTGCTTTGGTGGAAGGCACGAGACCTGAGCTGCGGTTACGTTCCCCCCAGAAACTATGCAGTGTCTGCTGTTTCTGTGAATAAGTGAGAAGTCGTGACCGCAGTCCGAGGAGGCAGCAGGGGCGGGCGTGTCCCACGTGGTCTGGGCCGGGTCCCTGGTCTGTGCCGTGGGCCCTCCCTCAGCGCTGGGCCAGGACGTGACTCCGGGAAGATTCAGCGGCCGGCCTGTCACAGGAATCCACACAGAGACAGGGACTGGGGACAGAGACTGGGTGTGCAGTGGTCTGACGCAGGGTCTCTGGAGGATGCTGCAGATGGACAGAGCTGGGGACCAGAGAAGGCTGAGCGCCTGGGCTGAAGCCTCGAGTGCGATGAGTAATGGGTCCATCTGGCTGCACACAGGGCGGAGACTCGGCGAAGGGAGGCTGGAGAAGCAAACGCAGGTGAAGGCCATCGTCCCACGGCGGGAAGGCAGGGGGCTGTATCACATCAGAGGGTGTCTTCATGCGTGTGTGTCGGGTGTTGGCATCTGCCAGACCTTCCTTAAATGTGACAGTCTGAGCAGAAACCCACCTGTAAAGGGGCGAAGCAGAGGCCAGAGTGCTCTCAGGATTGTCCTTGCCATGCCAGTGAGCGGATGGTGCTGGACTCAGACCCAACTTCCTGGCCATCCCCATGTTGCCTGCAGTGCCTCCCGCAGACATCCAAAGTCCCGAGCAGTGCGACAACATGGCCCTGGCCACGTGGGAGAGAAAGGATGAAGTCCTGGATTGGCGGGATGTGACTGTAGGCCGGGCCCTGTGTGTACTCTGCCCGGAGTCTTGCTGAACCTCCTGACCAGTCTTTCTTGGTTCTTACCACCTTCCTAGAGATGAAGAAACTGGAACATACATGTGGTAACTTGTTGGGATCATAGATCAAACCAGGGAAGGCGTCCTGGTCTGAAATCACTGTTAACAGTAGGCTTTGTAAAATCAGTTTGCTCAGATGTT